ATTTTTTTGATTATTTTGATAAAGTATATCTTTCTGGCATCATTTCTGCCTTCTTTTTGACTTCAACTCTTTTCAAAATTCATCTAAATTTTTTGATTTTGAGTTTTCTGACAACCATTATATACTTCACTGAAATAAAAATCGTAATATCTAGTGTATAATTTCTTAGTAGAATCCCGATTTGATGAAATTAGGTCCAATTTCCGATTCGTTCGTTAGACGGGAGGGGAGGTACGAGATAAACATGCACGTAAGTAGTATAATGGTAGTATTATGTAATACCACGGTCGGGGAGGTGGCAAGAAAAGGATTGGTGGCGGCGCGGGGTGCGACAACGACGACGGCCTTAATGGATTCCTCACTTCCCGGATAAGTGCGTCCCCTCCGCGCGTCGCCATCACATCACGCGTCTTCGGAACTCCTAAAAGCCTTCGTCGGCCGAGTCACTTGTCACTGCGCTAAAACCGGGGGAGCCCCCCGGGCGAAAGAACTTCACCTATAGCGCCTACCTCCTACTCTCCCCTTTCATCCTCTAGTCAAATCTTGTAAGTTTCTGTTCGCTTTAACGGGGCACATATCGAGGGTGTCGCCTTCGTTTCCCACCCCAAAGAAGAGTTCTTCGTGGAGTTCTTACGTTTATTTGCATCTCGCCTTGCTGTTTCTCTGTTTGAGCTTTTAGAGGATCGGACACGCTGAGAAGCCTTTAGAATAACAAATAGAGGTAGATGTTAAAGGTAGAAAATTTTAAATTAAGATAATTCAATTGAAATTTATTTTGAAAAGAATAATCGTAAAGATCAAAAAAAAAGGAAGAAAATGATGCCACAAACCAAAGGTGAAGCCTTAATTATTTATTGAAACGGAGCGAATTGGACTCCGATGTGGCGTAACGCATAAAAGAACAACGGGGTAACAGAACGGTAATGTCTGAAGTGGGTGCCGTGTTGTATACAGCCGGCAATAAAAAGAAACGGCTTCAGGAAGCATGTGTTGCATACCGTGTTAGGGCGGTTCACAATAACTCCAGGCTGCGAGTCGAGCTTGTAAATGCGACCGTAATTTGCCCCCCGGTTGTGCAGTCATTCCAAAATCACCCTTCCTTTACTTTTCATCCGAAACAAATCTTGGATTGTTTAATTTTTAAACGGTTTCTTTTTTATTGTTTTTATGAATATTTTCAAAATAAATTCATTTTTGAATCTTTACCGCCATCTTTTATTTAACCATTTAATTATTAGTATAGATTTCTGTAAATCAATAAATTGATTTTATTCAGTATTTATTACTATTAATATATATTATATATAATAATTAGACTTAGATTTTAAATTGAATATAATTTTAATGAGATTATTATAATTTTTGTGTAATAATTTAATTTAAAATATTTTATATATATAGATATGCAACCCAAATAACACTCTCAAAAGCGTATACCATAACGTAATGGGAAAGGTTAGATTGAACGAAAAGATGTCAGAAGAGTTTAGCTTAAGAGAATAGCTTAAGCCCACTACTCTTTGTAGCATATATAGACTGAATAATAAAGCAAGTCAAAATACAAACTACGCACACGAGACTGGGGTACTACAACCTCACCCTGATGTACACTCAAGGCCTTAAATACGCGGACTATGTTGTACTAATGTTAGGTACAGTAGATGTCCAACAAAGAAACATCCAAATATGGAATTCCTGCCTACAACAGAACAGCAAAAACAAGTGCCAGTCTACTACATTAAAGCAAAAATACAATTCTATAAAATCATCTATATACCCACACTTTATTATAGATCAGAAACTTGGACGATGTTAAACAAGCACAAATCAAAAATAACAGCAGCATAGATGAAGTACCTACGGAAGATATTGGGGAAAGCCAAAAGAGATCAAAACGAACAAGAACGTCAAGGAAGAACTAAGCTTAAACCCCCTGGCACAGGAAATAGAGGGAAAACAACTAAGTTGGTATGGTCATCTGGTTCGAATGAAAGAAAATGTTCAACATGATTCCAGAAGGAAAGAGAAAGCGTGGTTGACCAAGAGTCCCATGGCAGGGAGAGATTGAGAAGATGGTTGAAAGAAGAGAGAAGAGACCGAAGTAAGTGACGCTCTGGTGCGAAAAGCTCAACGCCAATTCTAGCAGTGGATGTTCTGCTTGGCCTTTCTTCTTTGCATTTTCATATAGAGAAAGTAAAAATTTAACAACGCAATATCACAATCTCTGGTCTGATACGCTTCAGGCCGGGAGGAGGCTGTCCGCAGTGTTATCTCCCCTGCTTTGGTCCCTTCTGGTTGACGATCTGATTGCGATAGTCGTAGCCGTTGGTGTAGAAATACAAGCTTATGCTGATGACATTGTTGTTATGGTCAAAGGAACCTGTTTGTACCCCTGAAAGACTATACCGGCTTTATCTGATTGTGGTTAGACCTATGATCACATACGGAAGAGCAGCTTGGTATAGGAAAGTCCAACAGACTGCAGTTATTAGTAAACTTTCACGAATTCAACGAGTAGCTGGATTGGCAATCTCTGGTGCAATAAGCACAACGCCAAACCTAGCAATGAAGGTTCTGCTTGGCCTATCTCCTTTGCATTTGCATATAGAGAAAGGGGCTAGAACAACTATTTACAGATTTAAGCAATATGCTCAAAACTGATCCGACATGTCCTACCAATGGGCTGCGGAAGATATTATAAGCACTGATACTATCAGTGACTAATGCTCGATACCAGATTGTACTGCCTGAGCGGCAGTTCTGGATTGAAAATGAAAATTATCTGGTTCAGGCAGATATTTGCATGTTCACAGATGGATTAAAAACGCCGGAAGGGGTCGCAGCAGGAATATACTGCCAGACACCTCGAATTAAGCAAGCTTACAGCCTGGGTTAGTACTGTACTGTATTCCAGGCGGAAGTATTTACTATTGCCATGGGTGCTAAAATTCTTCTTGACAGTCAAGCAGCTCTCCAGGCGCTGCAAGCTGTGAAAACGGTGTCGGCTCTGGTTAATGATTGTAAGAAAACATTAAACACACAGAGTTGTGATAACAGAGCTTCTCTGATCTGGATCCCGGTTCACTCTGGGGTTGCTGGCAACGAAGAGGGCAGCGCTAAAGCGTTTGTGGGGCCGAAACCAGCAATTGGTGTATCATTTGCAATGGCCAAGTATAAGATTGGACTGTGGGCTGAAGAGAGACTTTGCCTCCTTTGGACCAGTTCTTATGCTAAGGTGTTTATTAATATCGCCACTGTCAAACCCGGGAATATTTTAGGACTTGCCCGTAGCAGCATAAAAGTTCTAATGGATAGATTCTTGGCATTGCCGATTAAAAGCACACCTCAACTTGTTGGGTTTAGCCGACGATGTTGAATGCCGACTATGCGCGGAGGAAGCAGGAACGGTTGAGCATGTTTTATGCCACTGCCCTACCGATAACCGTATCAGATTCTCGCTTTTTGGGTCTCAGTTTATGTCCTCAAAGGATCTGAATGACCTTTCACCGAGCAAGGTATTAATGTTCGTTTAGAGCATTGAACTGCACAGTGAAATTTGATAACGATATCTATCGGGGTATAATAGATCCTTAGGGTCGCGGTGATTTAAGCAATATGCTCAAAACTGCTCTGACATGCCCTACCAATGGGCTGCAGAAGACACTTAAGCACTGATATTACGCTATCAATGCCGTCCGATTTGAAGGGATCACTACCAGTGATTAATGCTCGATACTAGATTGTACTGCCTAAACGGTAGTTCTGGATTGAAAACGAAAATTTTCTGGTTCAGGCAGATATTTGCATCTTCACAAATGCATCAAAAACGCCGGAAGGTCTTGGGGCAGAAGTATACTGCCAGACAGTTCGGATTAAGCAAGCTTACAGCTTGAGTACGTACTGTACTGTATTTCAGGCGGAAATATTTGCTATTGATATGGGTGCTAAAATCCTTAATGACTGTAGTAGAGCTTTAAACTCACTAAGTTATGATAACTTAGATCTGCGTCCCAGGTCACTCTGGGGTTGGAGGCAATGAAGCAGCAGATGAGGTAGCACGAGAGAGCAAAGTTAAAGCGTTTGTGGGGCTAAAGCCAGTTGGTATATCATTTGCGATACTCAAACATAGGATTGGACTATGGGTTGAAGAAATACTTCGTTTACTGTGGAATGGTTAAAAGCTTGTAATCGATTTGATTTCCAGGGCAAATCTATGCAACAACTTATTTTCTCAGTTTATTTACATTTTATTAAATATCCTCCTCTTATCTTAAAATATGCTCCTATTGGAATAATAATGCCATCTAATGTGTAAGATTTGTATTAAGCACTTTTCTAAGGGGCAAATCTACTTTTTTAATTTTTAGTTGTTTAAGATTTAGAAGATAATTAACAATATGTATTTGGTGTTAATAATATCAAAGTGAACTCAATATCTGTATTAATTTATAAATTTTAAAGGTATAAATGAAATAATTTTTTTGTTTATACTCGCCATCTCATTTCTATTAGGTAAACTAAAGTATTCTTGGAATTAAGACCCTTTAAATGGTGCAACTTTTATATTGTAGATGTCGCCGGAATAAATTTTGAATTATTTTTGTTTATGTAAAAATTTTAAAATGTTTTCAGTTGAAAGGTTTTACTTTATTTTTATTGTCATTTTACAATAGTATATTATTATACAAGTCAACTTAGATCTAGACAAAAAAATAAATGTAGTATTAACGTTTTGATAAGCCCTAAAGCGCGAAGCTGCGTGAATCCATGGTTCGGTTCGGTTTAGAAGTAGACCAACAAAATGGCCGATGTAGATATATACAAAAAATTCTCAGGTCCGCCGCCTGGTCGTTCGTCGACTTTAAATCATCATCATTCATCATCCGGCGTTCGAAATTGCTCCCTCTCATTATCAAAAAAAAGAACAAAAAGAAATTGTTTACCGAAGTCGGTACGGAATCATACAAAAAAATCTCCTTAGATTTAAAAAAATCACTTCATCTCTAAAAAATATTCTAGCGTTCGAACAAGCATACTTATTTCCAAAGATTTTTTTTTAATAAGTTTTTTAAAACATTTTTTTATAATCGTATTTTGGGCGTATTAAAGCTAATAAACATAAACATTTTTAACAGCTCGATAAATTATTTCGTCGGAGAGGCTCCTTAAGCCATCGTCAGCGTACCAGCACCCATGCCAAAACCAACTCCTTTCGGTCCAAAATTCTTTCCGTAACATCCTCTACAGTAGATTTCACCGTTCGGCGCATCATTCAAATTAGTCGAGTCCAAAGATCTGTTACAATCGGCACAACTGAAGCATCTCTTGTGCCAAATCCTACCCCTACTAATCATTTGTTCCGCGGCGTAAACTGCGTAACCACAACGAGAACATCCTTGGCCGGGAGCAGCTTTCGGTCCAGAGGTTGGATTTGGATTTTGAATAGCCGGGGCGTAGGCGCCATCAGCACAAACTAAAGTTGGAGCGTGACCAAAACCAAATCCTTTAGGTCCAAATAGTTTTGAATAACAAGCTTTGCAATGAATTTCTTTATCCGGACCATCACAAGCTAAGACAGAATCTAATGGTCTGTGACATTCAGCACAGTTAAAGCACTTTTTATGCCACATCTACAAAAAAAATTTATGTAATATGATTTCTTTAAGTTAATTTTTGAGACAACGTACAGTTCCTTTAGCAAGTTGTTGTTCAGCTGCAAATACCATACCACCACATCTTGGACAACCTTGGCCAGGTGGAGCTTTAATTGATGTAGTATCAGGGTTGTAGAAAGGCCTTGTAGCAGAAATTTCATCTTCCCTATAAATAAACAATTAAATTAATTGTCATAAAATAAAAAAAAATTTAGACTTACGTTAAACCATCAGTTTGTAAGAAACCAGATCCACATGCAAATCCATATCCATGCGGTCCCCATTTCTTTCCGTAACAGGTCTTACAATAAACATCCCTATCGGGACCATCGCAAGCGATAATTGAATCTAAAGTTTTGTGGCAATCTTTACACTTGAAACATTTTCTGTGCCATGGTCTTCCCTTGGCCAATACTTCTTCTGCGGCGAATACAACACCTCCGCATCGTGGACAACCTTGGCCTTGGGGTGCTTTGATCACCGAAGTGTCGATTACGGTCGTTTTCGGAGCTTGATCGCTACAAAATAAATTATAAATAAAATATTAACATGATAGTAATAAAATATTAACAAAATTTGGGATGTGTTTGGATAAAATTTTTGAAATTGTTCTAAATTATCCTTGGAAACTCTTAAAAATCATTGGTAACTTCCATTATATTAATTTTGGATGTTTTTTGAAATCTTATTGAAATATTGAATGAAAAGGTAGTCTTCTTTAAGCAGTATTGTGTCTTTTGAGATAATACGTGTTTTTTTGCAAAAAGTATTTGGTCTTGTGCAAGCAGTATTTGGACTATTATGGTAAGTATTTATGTTTAATACTGAGTGGTCTTTATCAAATGGTATCTAATCTTCTTTAAGCAGTGTTTAAATTTTTGCAAATAGTTATTGGCGTTCTGCAAGTAGTATTTAACCTTCTGCACATAGCATGCAGTCCTTTATCACCAGTTTTTAATCTTCTCCAGTGAGAATACGGACTTTTGCAATATTCAAACAGTATGTGATATCTATCAAATCATATCTAGTCTTTTCTAAGTAGTGTCTAACATTCCACAAATAGTATATAATATTCTGCAAGCAGTAATTAAGGTTGTATACAAAATATTTAGTCTTTTTGAAGTAATATGTAATCTTTTGCACATAGTATGAGTCTTTTATTAGCAGTTTCTACTCTTTTACAGTATGAATATGGATTTTTACATTATCAAATGGTATCTACTCTCGTTTGAGTAGTGACTATCTTTCTGCAAATAGTATATGATCTTCTCCGAGCAGTAATTTAGGTTGTACAAGAAATATTTAGTCTTTTGGAAGCATTATGTAATCTTTTGCACACAGCATGAATTTTTTTTTAACAGTTTTTAGTTTTCTGATGTGAAAATATGTACTTTTGCAACATTTAATCACAGTGTGGTACTTTTTAAGCAATGTTTAGTCTTCTGCAAATACTATCTAATCTTTTAGAGTAGTACTTAGTCTTTTGGAACAAAAACTTTATTTAGTCTTCTGCCAAGAAGTTTCTAGCATTTCTAAAAAATTATTTGTACATTTTACACATTTTGACTTTATGAACCATCAAACAGTGTGTTTATGTAATTTTTTGCATTTTGTATATAGATTAAACTTGTTTGGGTGGATTAAATTATGTTGGATTTTAGCAAAAGCTGGGAATTTTGGAAATTTGCGGGTTTAGTGTTAGTATTAAGCAAATACCTCTGCCATTCGAGGTCGAGGACGTCGCACATCAATCCTAAAAAGGTTCCTCCTGCGTGTCCTATTCCTCGTGGGCCAAAACGTTGTGCGTAACAAGCTAAGCATAAAATGGGGTTGAGATGTTATTATGGCGTTTTATTTTTTTGTTAATTTTTATTAAAATGTATATAAATCTTTGTATAAAATATACATACAGATGGGCGTAGCAGTCGCTCTGGAGGGTACCGCCACCCTGACCATACCCATAGCCTTTCGGTCCAAACCTCTTGCCGTAACAGACTATACAAGGACATCACAAGAATTAGTTTACAAAAAAAAGGCCAAAGAAATAAATTTTTTTTTCGGTGGTTCCACGCACCTTTGCAATAGATTTCTTTATCAGGCCCCTCGCTGACACTGGTTGAGTCGAGACCTTTGTTGCAATCGCCGCATTTGAAGCAGGTCTTGTGGAAGGCCTTCAAACGACAACAAACAATATTAACACACAAAAAAAAGTATTAAAACCACAAAGTGACGGAGAAGACGAAGACAACAAAAGGAATTTAACCGTGCTTATTTTTCCAATACCTCTGCAATAAACTTCTCTGTCCGGACCGTCACAATGTGAAATAGAATCCAAGGTTTTGTTGCAATTGAAGCACATAAAACATCGTCGATGCCAGCCCTATTTTTGATTGCTGTTTTAAATCATACAGGATGTATCAAAAGTACGAAAATTCCATGTAGAAAAAATTGATTTTAAACGAATTTTTTCTGCATGATATTTTCGTTTGGCAGAATTTATTTGAAACACCTTGTATTTTTTTTTTTTTTCGATATTTACCCTTCCTCTGGCGAGCATTTGTTCGGCGGCGTAAACGTATCCTCCACATCTTGGGCATCCTTCACCTTCGGGTGCTTTCGCAATAGCTTTGGGTAAAAGAGGAGCTCTCGATACCATGATGTGGGGATCATCATCTCTAAAAAATCGTTAAATTAATAGATTTGTTGAGGGGTTGATGCAAATTTGTTAATAAGCGAAATTATAATAAAATAGCTGCAAAATAATAAATAAGAAAAAAAATAAATGAAATAAAATAATTTGTTTTAGAAGAGTTTTGATTCTGTGCGGAGTGCTGCGTATTGTGTTGTAATGAGAACAGGCCAAGTAAACTAGACAGTTAACGCAATACGATCGATTCAACAGTAGACAAGTAAGAATGAGGGCACTTTCCTTATTCCCATTACATCTAGTGTTTGGTTAGGGACGGAAAGCGAAAAAAGAAAAACAATAAATAGTTAGGTAAAGGAAGCCATGCTTGCGCTTGCTAACTTTTCACGTGTTTTTTCATTTTGATTCTCACCATTTCAATTCGCAGATTCTCCTCGTTGATTCGCCGCTTTTTATTTTTTTTTTAATAAAAAAATTTGGGATGTAATAAGGAAAGGTTTCGACACAACACATTTACACCACAACCAAAAAAATAAGACAAAAATTACTAATAATACAACAAAAATAAAAAAAAAACATTAAAAAAATCAAAAATATAAAATAAAATGAAGGTGTAAAAAGTGATGTGCCAATTTAAAGAAAACCAAAAATGTTTTTTTTTTTAATTTCAACGATTTATTCTAATTCGAATATTACATAGTTTATTATTCAAGTAATAATCGAATTAACAAATTCCGTGATAATCTTGTAGTAGAAATAAATAAACCTAACTTGTTATAAATCTATTATTATATACGGTTTATAGATAGATTTTTTTTGGTTGTTGTTTGGGGCACAGTGTTTTTGTTATTTAGTTATTAAGATTTGATTTTGAATAAATTAATTTTCTTAAATAAGATTTTTGTTGTTGGTGGTGTAGTGTGCGCGCCCCCAATGTGGATGACCAACGTGTTGAGTCCCCGGCGATTCCTTTAGGAGGAACTAGAAAAAGGGAACATGCACTTTCGGGTTTTGTTTCAACTACAGTGTGTTAATTAATTATAATACTCGTCTCATTGCAAGTATGCAACCAATATCACAGTAGAAATCGCATAATACGCGATTTGCGTACTACAAAACCAATATTGTGATGTTGGTTGCATACTTTCTCGGGGACGATACTTAATTAACACAGTGTAAGTAATTCACGCGTTGTGTATGCATCGGCATAACATCTCGCAAGAACACCGATACTAACCGTTTATATATATTTAGTAATCGCGAAAATAGGCTTAAAAAAGCAAATATCCCTTTTATAGATAGTACTTCAAAAGATGAAATAATATTTTATTGATTACTTTTGAAATACTTTCAATAAAGGGACGATATTGCAATGATTGTTAGATTAAAGGTGTTAGCTTGCGAGACATTGAGCTATTGGCCGCGGATTAAGACTCGTACTACACAAAAAAATTGGTTGTAAGGAAGGGCCCTCATCGATTAAAACGTTTTTTTTTTATTCTACCGATGTCGATTGAATCGTTTATTTAATTAAAATAATTTAATAAATTAAAGCTTACCCCAAATGAGCACCTGAGTCCATGCTCAAGCAGCCAGCGCCTCCACCAAATCCGTAACCTTTAGGTCCGTATTTGCGGGCGTGGCAATTCCTGCAGTACAATTCCTTTTCGTGTTCGGAACAGTTGGTGGAATCTAACATTTTACCACACATTCCTAAAGGAATCAAAAATAATTTAATTCAAAAAAAATCGTTGTTTATAATTAAATTACCGCATTTGAAGCAGGATTTGTGGTATTTGTAGCCTCCGGCAACACGTTCTTCAGCGGCATAGACGGATTTGTCGCATTTGGGGCATTTTGGGTTTTCAACTGGTTTGAAAGGCATGATGATGGCGTCTGGTGTCGGCCTGGAAAATGGAAAAGAGAATCGGTGCGTTAGAGAATTCCGTTGGCGGCTCGCCAAGTGTCGTAATTTGAACCACAATAAGGTATGTTCTAAAATTATCCGGCAACGTGGGGCCGTGGCGCTCGGCCAACATCCGCCACTCCAAATTTGGCAGTGCGCAACAGTTCTCCGATTACCGTCACTGTTTTCGAATGAAATTGAATAAAAATTCTTCACTTCTATCACTAAACACTCGCGCCCTCCTGACCCCTGAACTATAGCAAAAGGGCCACCTCGAAGATAACTTGACCTACCTGTCGATTCGTTAGGTAGTAGTAGCTAAGAGGTTGATGTGGTACTGGTTGAGCGGATTGGGACCTCTGCCTTCGCGAACCACTACAGATTTCGAATGCGGCTTACGGCGCCGCCGCCTCCTAGTCTATGGACCGAGTTTTGCACACGGCCCTTAGCCCAAAAAAAGGGTAGTGGGGCGGCTGCGGCCGCCGATGGCCTTTTGGGCAGCGGCGGCTATTTTTGAGCGGGATGCACGGATGACAGATCTACTTTTTCGATAAAAACCGCGCCTTTTGGAGAAATCCGATACCGGGGCCAAGCGTTAATCATAACCTGAGAACGTCATACCCACCCTCTCTACCCACAGGGATACCATTTTTTGGCACTTACAATCACCAATCAGTCCAAGAACTCTACTACTATCTGACTAAACACGCCTTCATCATTTGTATTTTTATGAAAGTGACAACATCACTTTTACTAATCTTATTTATCATTTTGCAAACATTTATTTTACACGACGATAAGTTTAAGTAAAGTTAAATACATTTAATTAATATATAGGTAAGTTTTAATTAATTTAATAAAAGCTTTTATTAAATTTGTTGTCATAAATAATTAAGAAAAAAGATTAAATCTATAAATGACATTTCATGAATTCCAACGATTATGCAATTAATGAATGCAAAATCTCATTGAATTTAGGTTGTATTTATAATGTTCTAGGGCATCACCCGCAAGAGATCTCGGCAATAATAGAAGATATCGTTCATTTAATGTTTTGAAAAGTAAACCAATTCCATATCACTTTAATTTGCCTTCACGCTGGAGCTAATAAATTACAAATACAAACCTAAGTTCAATGAGATTTTACATTTAGGAGATACAACATCAGTTCTACCACCTCTCTCGGCTATCCGAAAACTTAGTAAAAAAAATAAAAACGGGTTCTAATAGATTTTTTCACATCCAATGGCGCACGTAGAATTTTTCTAGTCATTTTTGAGTTATAAACACAACTCAAATACTGAATACTCAACTTCTAAAATACTTAACGTGAAAAAAATCTATTAGAACCCGTTTTTACTTTTTTACTAAGTTTCCGGATAGCCGAGATACAGGAGGTGTCTGAAAATCGTAAATTTTGAAACGCTCCCTGTATATCAAAAACGAAGAGGGCTATGAAAATTTGGTTTGCACCATTGTAAGTTTAATAAAAAAGTAGCTCAGGTTCGCGAAAGCCGTAACTTTCTATCTTTCATAATAACTAAGATACCCTGCAAACCCATCGAAATTTGGACACCCTGTACAAGTCCGAGATAGGACTACTCCACAGTGTTATATGAATAGCTCAGGGTTTTAAGCATTTAAGACCATTTGAGAAGCGCTCAGCCAAAAGTTTTCAACACGAATAATGATTTTGCCTAATAAATTGAGAATGAAAGAAAATTAGGTAAAAATTAATCACTGGTATCAAGAAAGAAAGATTTTGGATTAAACTACACCTTACATCTTTTGACCAATTAAGGCGAGATTGCTGGCGGCCGAAGTCCAATAATTAAAATTATATTGACTTCATAAAACTGATCATCATATGATGATGCCACGACCGCAAGCAACCTCGCCTACATCAAGTGAAGTTGAATGAAATGCAACATGTATGAATGTTTCTAGTTCTAGATCTAATGTTAGTTCCAGAGACAGTGGTTGGTAGCGCTAGTTAACATAAAATATCACTAAGTACAGGCTGGTTCAAATTCGAGAAACTGCTAATGCCGAAAACCTCAAAGCGCTATCGTCTTTTGTTTATCCTCCAGAGGCCAAAATTGAAAATATCGTAAAATAATTAGCTCCAGCGCCTCGCCCGCAAGCGACCTCGGCGAAGTGAAGATAAATTAAAGTGATATGAGGTTGATTTACTTTCCAATACATAATTGAACGATATCATCTATTATTACCGAGATCGCTTGCGGGTGAGGCTTTGAAACTAATCGTTTTTACCAGCTTTGTGGTGTTATAATTACATATCCACTGCCTCATTCGTAAGCAACCTCAGCAAATGAGTGATATCACCTAATATCGCCGAGGTTGCTTGCGGACGAGGCGGTGGAACTAATATATAACTAGGTTTGTATATGTAATGTATTAGCTCCAGCGCCTCGCCCGCAAACGACCTCGGCGAAGTGAAGATAAATTAAAGTGATATGAGGTTGATTTACTTCCCAATACATTAATTGAACGATATCATCTATTATTCCCGAGATCGCTTGCGGGCGAGGGTCTGGAACTGATCGTTTTCACCAGTTTTGTAGTGATATAATTACATATCCACTGCTTCATTCGTAAGCAACCTCGGCAAATGAATGATATCATCTAATATCGCCGAGGTCGCTTGCGGGCGAGGCGGTAGAACTGTTGTTGTATGTTCTAAATGCAAAATCTCATTGAATTTAGGTTTGTATTTGTAATTTATTAGCTCCAGCACCTCGCCCGCAAGCGACCTCGGCGAGGTGAAGATAAATTAAAGTGATATGAGGCTGATTTATTTCCCAATACATTAATTGAACGATATCTTCTACTATTGCCGAAATCGCTTGCGAGCGAGGCTCTGGAACTGATCGTTTTACCAGCTTTGTGGTGATATAATTACATACCCACTGCTTCATCCGTAAGCAACCTCGGCAAATGAGTGATATCATCTAATATCGCCGAGGTCGCTTGCGGGCGAGGCGGTAGAACTGATATTATATCTGCTAAATGGAAAATCTCATTGAATTTAGGTTTGTATTTGTAATTTATTAGCTCCAGCGACTCGCCTGGAACAGACCTCGGCATAGTGAAGGCAGATTAAAGTGATATGGGCTTGATTTACTTTCTAATACATTAATTGAACGATGTCATCTACTATTGCCGAGGTCACCTGCTGGCGAGGTTGTGCAACCGATCATTTATACGAGATTTACAGTCATATAATCACATATCCACTGCCTCGTCTGCAAGCAACCTCGGCAAATGCGTGATATCATCTAATACCGCCGAGGTCGCTTACGGGCGAGGTGGTAGAACTCATATGATAGCTTCTAGATGTAAAATCTGATTTTGGAGAAGTGTGTATTCATAATGTATCAGTTCCTCGCCCACAAGCGACCTCGGCGAAGTGAAGAGAAAATAAAGTGATATGGGCTTCATTTACTTTCCAATACATTAATTGAACGATATCATTTACCATTTCCTAACCAATCATTCACAATATACAGGGTGTTTCATTTAAAATGACATATGCTTATATCTCGAAAACCAAAACTCGAATCGAAAATAGTTTCAAGTAAACTTCTTTTGGTGAAAAGGGGGGCACAAGGTACACTTGAGCAGATTTTTTTTCAGGGTTGCCTAAAAGCCCTTCTGACGTCATTTTAATTTTTTAAAATCGCACATATACTTTTTTCTTTCAACGTCTTGAATAACTTGACAATGTATTTTTTGCTTCAAAAATTTTTTTCATTATGAAGATATCTACAAAAAGAAAAATAAAACAACATTTTACAAAATGTAATTAAAAAAATTTAATCAATAAAAAAACGATTTAATTAAATAGTACTAAAATTCTTCTTCATTTTTGAAATCACCTTAGAACGTTGATTAAAATTTATAAAGTTACCTTTATACATCGATTAAATGCTCAAAATGATGACTTCTATACATTTCTGAATTCTCATTGAAAACGTTCTCTACACATTGCCAAACATTTCTTCAGTTATTGATTCGCAAGCTGGTCTGATACGGTTTTACATATCGTTTGGTTTGGTTTGGAACTTGGTTGTAAACTTTCTCTTTGAGGTAACTCCAAAGAAAGAAATCTGGAGAAGTTAAATCTGGTGATCTAGCTGGCCAATTCACCGGTGCATTACGTCCTATCCATTTTTCAGGAAACATTTCGTCTAAAACTTCTCTTGCGGCTAGAGCATAATGAGATGCTCTAAAAAAAATTTTCATTCAATCTTAATTTTTTCATAGCCCAAGTACAAAATTGCACACGATTTTCGAAATCATCGCCATGTAATTGTTGGTGTAGAGAGACATGATACGGGTGAAACTTATTAAGTTTCAAAATCCGATGTACACTCGTTAACGAAATGCCTGAATCTTTTGGCAATTGACGGCAACTTACATTAGGATTAACATCTACAGCTGCTAAAATAGCTATTTGATTCTGTCTTGCACGTGTTCGTTATTTTTCCTCCACGTTACCACATTCCAGAAATGTTGTAACTATTCGATATAAAGTTTTAGGACAAGGCGCTCTTTCTCCAGGAAATTTTCGAACATAAATGCGATGGGCTTCAGCCAAATTTTCACGACTTTCACCATCAAAACCATCAAAACTTTCTGTGGAGTACAGAAGTGCTCCATTTTTGCTTTGATCACAATGATTTTTTCGCTTGAAATTTTTATCCCACGTGCAAATCCAAACAAGCTTTAGAACAGTATTTACTCGATTCATAAACATTAAAAAAAAATATTTAATCAATTTTTTAAGACGATTTCTAAAATTAAGAAGAATTTTAATATTATTTTACGATTAATTAAATCGTTTTTTTTTATTAATTAATTTTTTTTAATTACATTTGGAAACATGTTATTTTATTTTTGTTTTTGTTGATATCTTCACAACGGTGAGTTTAAGAAAAAAATTTTTAAGCAAAAAGTAATCAGTTTGTCAAGTTGTTTAAGACTTTGAAAGAAAAAAGTATATGTGTCATTTGAAAAAGAAAAATGGCACAAAAATTCTACCAAAAAATGTTTACTTAAAACTGTTTTTGATTCGTGTTTTTGTTTTTGAGATATAAGCATACAGAGTATTAATTAATTATCGTACCCGACGTCATCATTGCAAGTATGCAACCAATAACACAATATTGGTATTGCAATACGCGATTTGCATATGATGCGTATTTCATTGTGATGTTGGTTGCATACTCTGTATGTCATTTTAAATAAAACACCCGGTATAATGACATATCCAGCGATCATTCTTACAGATAAATCATGTATAACTTGTAATAATACGTTGAATTCCTTATTAATTATCTTCCAATCCAACTCTTAAGATTTTATATATTATAATAATTGAGTGGTTAAGTAACTTTTACAAGTTAAGATTTATTTCTCAAGAACTAAAAGTGATTTATCAAAACCGCTTTTCGTATTAAAAAGAGGATACTATAATTAATAATTGGTGATATTTCCACAAGAATCCTTCAAGAAATTAATTGTATAGCGAATTTTGAAAGTTATCGATCAAAATTGCAATATCGAAAATTTTATCAAAACTTCAAATATTGTTTTTTCAAAAAGTAAAAGTTATTTTTCAAAACCGGTTGGTTCAATGGAAAGAGGACACTTTTATTAACATTTTGGGAAATTTTCAAACTCATATTCCAAAAAATCGATTTTATACGAATTATTAAAAATTAATCGGCGAAAGTTTAATAATTTTTAATAATTTCAAAAATTTATTTCTCAAGAACTAAAACTGATTTTTCAAAACCGCTTCTTGCATTAAA